TTTCTTTCTCTCTGTATTCGCAAATTGTTCACACATATGATGTATGTCGCATGCATCTTTGTCCGTTTCTTCGCGAGCTTTCGACATATGGTGGAAGATAAGCGATTCCGCTCTGCTCGTTCGCGGACACGTCAGCGGAATAGAGAGGGAAAAGAAGGGTAGAAGAGAAAAAAATCCTGGTCCTTAAGTGATGTACTCGTGATGTACACGGGAGATTGTTACGGATTGTTTCGTATCATTTCTAATTTAAACTCTTTGCCTTGGCGAGAAACGTTAGGCTGTTTATGTTTGTTGTCTACTGCCTCTCGCATTGTTCGACTCCTTCGAGAAGATTCTCAAAGTACGTAATTGTTGACTGTCACTGCCTATATAACCGATAACGGCTCTCGATAAGGTGAGCTGGTATTTGACTTTCAACGAACATCGACATTGTATGTTGTTAATTATGTTTTAATTGGCAACTAGCAGCCCAATTTATTCCTTCCGCTGCGTCGAGTCAAAGCCCGCCAGTGCGGTTCGTCCGAGCGAAATGGTTGAGACGCGGAAACGCTTCAACTCATTGCCAGGACTGATTTCGAGGCATGCAGAAGTTCCTCATGATGAACGATCAGCTGCGTGGGCCATTGAAGATTCTCATGTCACGAGCAACTGCAGAGACCTCTAACAGCACGATCGAATCGTGTATGGCATCATCGAGATATACGACTTGTGCAACACACTGCCAGTGGACAAGCAGGGAAAGCTCAAGATACATGTCGACCCGAAGACTGATGTACCAGTTAATTACGATAAGTTCTTTCGTCGTTTCTTTAGCGTGCTAATTTTACAAGGTTTAGGAATTTACTCTTGAGAAGTAACTCGCGTCACTTTCGCTCATTTTGAAAAATAACTTGTCACTGTTACTCAAAAAGTAACAAATCGTAACGTTACCTCCTGGAAGAGGATGTACGCAACAAACATCGCATACTCGGGCACTCGTGAGGCCTAAACGTACTGGTAGGTCTGCAGTTCAGGTCAAGGTCCGGAGAGGCCCATTTACTCCGATTACAGGACATATGTTAGGTGGTCCTTTATTTAGGTCAAAGAACTTAATCTCTTTACCTGGGATAGGACTATATGAGAGTGTTGAAAGGGGAATTCAGACTGAAGTAATTGAAAGGAAATGAATAAATAATTTTAACAACTTGGTTAAATTTTGGGTATTTTGAATAAAACAGTTTATTAATTATACTAATAACATAATTTGGTTCTCACATGGATTAATAATAGTGGTAAATTGATGAGAAAAGATTGTAAAAGATACAATATTTAAAAGATGAAAGGGTTAACTAAAGTTAAACAATGAGATATATGGGTTTACATTAAACAAACCTTTATAAATCAGCATTATTGGAATAACGCAAATACAAGATGAAGATTAAAGTAAGATTAAATAAAAAAGTAATCCGTGTGACTTAATACAATACAATCGGATTTAACGTAACAAGAATGTTTAACGTATCGGTATGGCGAGAAAAACATCATTATATAATACAAAGAAGATATTAATTACGCAGTGTATGTGTGTGTTTTAAGAAGTGAAGTGGGATTGGAAATTGTATTGAAATGTTTAAAAGTCATGTTTAAATATGAAATAGACACTTACGATTTAAGTGAATCAACTGTGGTGAATAGTACGTAGAACATGGGTTCGTTGATCGTGGTGTAGGTCTCTCAAGGTACCCAGGATGTAACAACTACGTGCCTTATGTGGAGGCGGCAAGATCATCTTAATTATAGAAAAAAAAGGAATTCGTTGTTCCCGGGGTACCCTGGATGTAATAAAACTCCTTACGTGAAGGCGAAAAGGATGAGAGACGCGTTGGGAAACATGTGGCGCGTTTAACGGCGAGCTATCCTAATCTTATCCTTTTTACAATAGTGCTTGCCCGAAGTCCATCTGCTTCCCAATCATATAAAAAAAGAGGAATTCGTAGTTTCCGCGATACCCAGGATGTAACACCCCCAGCCTTAGACAAATGTTGGGGCGCCAACATTTGCAGACGGAGTGTATTACATTCAATACTTACATTCTACTTATATAGTGGAATGATATGATATATATATACATTTTTTCTAAAGGTTTACGATAATAATAAAATGTAACATAATGATTATTAAATATGAAATTGCAATTGTCGTTTTTCTTTATAGTATTATCAATTATCTAGGTTAATACTAATGATTTCTCTAAGTGACGTTAGTTACTAATTAGTAATTCGCATATACAACGTGGTGGTGCAAAATACTTCATGGAGCAAATGTTAAAATAGCAAATGTAACAAGTAAATGAAAAATTTTGTCTTTCAAATATTTTTTTGTTAAATTATAAATTTCATATCTTAATTCGAGTTGAGTTATGATGCAATTTGGTATACGCATTATAAGTGGAGTGGATCAATCACAATTCTCAAATAATACTATTGAAACAACATAATTACATATGCGTAGCTTAAATTTCTACAATTTTTTTTATTCTTTTTAAATTATTTTTTTTCTAATGTATTGGTTAATTAAAATTTATCTATATGTGTATATATGCTAAGTAAGCAATCCTAACTTTCATATATATTTTGAACCTTAATATACAATAATAAGTAAAATTTTATCTCCTTTACTTTAAATAACAAGGGGAAATATATATCACCAGGTTGTCCAAGTGTTGCGCGTTTCTTGAGATGATGAGCTGCTTTCGTAGATTGTTGCATTCCAATAGATATGTTCTTTCCATTGAGAGTTGGACGAATGCTGCCACCCATTCTATAGTTTCGTATAAAATTTATATGTCTGCCCAACTTTACCTTCTACGAGAAATCTGTCCGAGGCTTTGGTATTACGTTAGGATGTCGTAGTTGATACAAGCCTGTTGCAATGCAACCGGTAGATAGTTGCCTGTAAAACTAATTTATAATATTTTTACAGAGATTGGATCGGCTTTTTTTTATGCTTGAGTCCGATCTTACAACTTGTTGCTCCTTATAGACATCATGTTATTTATGACGAAATGATAGGACCAAATTATGATTTGGTTCTTTTTCCGAGTCATTTTCCAATTCGATCTCTTCAAGGACTCTTCAATGTATAATTTCTTTGCACCTGCATTTATCCCTTCATAGACATTACTTATGCCTGGTCTTCTTTCAGTTGTTTGTGGTTGGTCGACGAAGTTCCCTTCGTCAGTGGAATAGTCTCGTAAAGGATTTAAGAGTAGATTGCATCCTCTCGTCCTTACGGCTTCATCGAACAGATCATCTGCTTCCGGTAATCGGTTGACTCCACGTCTCGTAACTATGTAACGAGGAGTGTCCGCTGACTCGGATGCATGTACCTGCTCCTTGGTCGGTTTAGGTATTTTTACGATTGTGTTGTGCGCGTAGACATGCGTCTTAATTCTTGGTTTTCCCAACGACTCAGCCAGTTTCTGTGAGGTAAAGGGCGTGGAATCGGCGGTCAGAAAATCGTCCATCTCATCCATATCTAACAAATATAGTTCGTAATTGTTATTCTCGTCTGGTTTCTTTGGCTCAGTATCTTCTTCCCATAGTTGTTCACCATAAGTAGCGTCCTTCGGACTATTATAATTTATTTTAAACTTACGGCCGATTGTTTTATAATTTCGGAGTGTAATTTCTATAAAATTTACTAATAATGTAATCGCGTTTACAATCAGTTTCCCTGTTTTGTATATTGCATCATAATTGTATTCAAGAAATTTTGACCTCCATTGAAGTATTTGCTTACATATATTTTGAGCATTCTTACATCGTCCTAGAGTTTTATAATTTGTTATAAAAGTAAAACTTTGCCAGTATAGATACAGTTTAAAATGGTTAATACAATGTGTTATGAATAAAATTTCTTTCTTGTAAATAACGTAATAATCTGTGTGCATAATTTGATTATCGTTCAAGATACGAGATATATACATCATGGATTGATACTTATCTCTAACATCTAGAAATTGTCTTTTTTCTTATGAATGTGTTCTTTTATAAATTTGAAGAATTTTGTATTTTTGGGTGCTTTTAATATGTGTTTGTATGTGATCGATATATAGATTTGCGATGCGTATGCCAATATCAACAGCAAATCAAAAGAATATTGATTCTTTTGTTACAAATTTTGAAATATATTTGTTCTTTTCTAAAATCATGCAATCTAAAATATTCAACTTTAATAATTTGACCAGTTGTTTACAGTAGCAATTCCTTGTTTTTAACAATTGCAAATGGATTTTAGTATGGAAATTTGTATAATAATTTCTTATAATATTTTCGACAACAATTATGCTTAATATAGTTTTGTAACAGTTATGCTTACTACCATAAGGTAATCTGTGAACTTGTATGCCATTATTGTCATCGTCTTTAATAGTATCTGTGATCGTCGTGTTACGTTCTTTTGTTTTTCTTGTTTCTGAAATTAGAATTTTATCATCCTGAGAATTAAATATGTAATGTTGTAACACATGCATCATAGTTGATTTTGTTTTCAGTAAGTAAAAACAGTGACGAAATATTGTTGAATCTAATATATTGTATATATTTATCTCGTCATAATTCGAGTGATTTTGATTAATCGAACCTGTTAAGTTATATAATTGATTATCTTTGTGAGCTTTTACAGAATGTACTTGGAAAACGTAGATGTTTAAGATTGTGCGGTTAAATATATTGTCAACTGTAATAGCAGTTATACATTCGATATTTGTTACTACAATAATTTATGATATTGTTCATTTGAAATCTTTCGTCAGTCTGTATATTCACGTTAATGTATTGTCTGTCGGCGATGAATATAAAAGTCAAAGTGCCGCCGGCACTGATTGCAGGTTTCGAATAAGCTGAAACTGAAATTGTATGAATTAGATTACGTTTAATATCAACATTCTTTACTTGTCTACGAGCTTGAATTTTATAAACAAATGAATTTGAAAAATTACTTATTAGAATTTTATCTAAATTTCCCATTAATCTATTATGAATTAGAGAACAAACATTTGAATTTTTAATCTCTTGGGTCTTAATATTCTCACAAGAAGCTTGCAATAATCCTTCTTGGGTCTCATTGAATTTTTTAGAATACATCCTATGATACCGATAGGATTTTGTTTTTTTTAAATTCCATTCTCCTTTTTTATTTAACCTTTTATAGAGAATTTTTGGGGGAAATTTGAATATTTGCCCTCAAAATTTTACTTAATTTGAAACGGTGCGTTTGCACCGTTGCCCCCTGCGACCCGACCGACCATCCGTCGGATCGTTCACCGGCTCTTTGCGCCACACTAATCCACACGACACGCACGTGACGCGCTTCCGCCAGAAGCACGATCACGTGCGTGTCACCAAACATAAACACCGACCCGCCAGCGGATATAAAATCCGACTGGCGGAAGCATCCGATTCCGCCGGAGTCAGCCAGAGCGATACGTTCGCTGGCTGTTCCGGATCCCGATCCTCCGTGCCGAGGAACCGAGACGGTGTATTCGCCGTCCCAACTGCGTGTTTGCAGCCGCACTCGTGATCCCGCTTGCCGAGGGGCCGAGACGGTGCGTTCACCGTTTCAGCTGCGCGTCCGCAGCCGTACTCGCCACCCTTCCTCAAGACGGTGTATTGCCGTCTCCTCCGGGAGTTCCCGGTTCCTGGCCGGCTTCCGACCGACCGACATCCGGCCAGATAAGTCCGGGGTGGCGACTGCACCGTCTCAGCCGAGTATTCTCGGCCAAGTCACCGCCACCGAAAGGGACACCGGGACCCTCGCGTTCACCGCAATGCATGCGAGCAACCGAGCGAGCGAAAGATAGTTAGTAAGCACGCGGGAGCAAACTTCGACGAAGGAGTTAACGGGTTCGGGGGTGGCGTCGTTCGCCGTCTTCGCCTAGATTTCTCGGCCCCGACTCCCCTCACGAAGAGACGCCTCCGAGATCACGTCGACCGTTTTCCAGTGAACACACCGTCGTGCCGCGTTTCTTCCGCGATCTCCCGGTGCCGTAGTCCTCACGGAGAGTATACGCCAACGCAGGAGCGACACTCGATACCGCGGGTACCTCCTGGTTGCCGTTCCGACCGTTCCCGACTCCGTGGGGCCTCCGAGGCTCCGTTTCCGTGCCACCTGCGCGTGGCTTCCGCATTGAACTCTCCGGCGCATTTAAAACGACGTCGCGGAGAAACATCGCGAAGATTTGCGTAGCGCTGTCAAACAGCGACTACACCGTGCGATCAAAAGCCCGCGACTCTACCGACCGTCACTCGTACGACAACCGTGTACACATCGCTGCGTATACCGTCCCGCGCAACCGTCTCACCGCGAAACTCGAAGATCAGCTGAGCTGTCAAAACATACGCGACCGACGACAGCAACAACACGTTCCGACGCATCTAGCGTCTACCCGGAAAAACGGTTTAAAATACCGAGCCGACATCCGCTCGCATATGAGACTGCCTTTTTGTAATCAAGAATAAATCTTTTGTTTGTTAACCAAAACTCTCCCAAACTTATTGCAAACGAACCCGGCAATCCGACGAGCCATTCAAGGGCCGCGACCGCCGCTTCAACGAGCTGACCGCTCGCACTGACCGGTCTCCTCTCACCGTACCAGAAAAGACATTCCCGCCGCGCGACAGGTGGTGAAGGTCACAACACACGACGATTATTTAATACAATTATTTACGCGATTACATCAGATTCAGATGAAAGCTAACGACAATTTAATACACGCTAAGACGAAATCTAAAATTCCTTTCGATAAAAGAATTAACCCTCTAATATTCAAACGAGGAGATTACGTATTTTTATTAAAAGGACCAAAACTCGAAAAATTTGGAGATCAATACACTGGCCCACACGAGGTGCTAGAAATCTTAAATAGAAATAACGTCGGGATTAAACTGAAAAAGAATAGTCGTATTATACACCCTAACAAGCTTCGGATATCTTATATACGACCAACACAGAAAAACATATAAATTTCAGATGGACTTCGGGATGATGAAATTCATCCTCACGATATTCCTACTCCAATGGGTCACTTACGTTCATGGAATTATCGGATATGATTGCTGATCCCCTTTCGCAAACATTCGACCGATTACTATTTTCGTTTTGTCTTTCTCGACATTGAGATGCCGGATGTCCGCGTCGATTGCACCATTGACAAATTTCGTTATTAAATTCTGAATTACGATTAGTATTAGAATAACAATTTTTTGCATTACGACCGGTCTTATTACACATTTGACAGACGATATTATTATTAGAAAATGAATTGTACCTACATTCGCCGGAACTATGGCCGTATCTTTGACAATTTTGGCAAATAATACTAGGTTGATTATTAAACAGACAATTTTGCGCGGTGTGGCCAGATTTAGAACAGATTTGACATGAATATTACTCTGAACAATTTTAACAGAATTTTTAACAGTAGAGTCTCTTAATCGACATTTGGCAGCACTATGTCCGCGTTTTTACAAATTTGGCACAATAAAATTTCATTATCTGTGGTAGTGGTTGTTGTATTCTATAAATACAATCGACACCTTTCCGCAGTGTGGCCCATTTTTCGACAGATCCGACATGAATTTTAGTACATGAGGAATCTCGTATCTCTTGTATTTCAGTAATTTCCTCTAATTATTTTTCGATTCTTAGAGCTTCGTTTACCGTCGCGATTACATCTAAGTTTCTAGGTATTCTTCCTTCTATTTTAGTCGTTAATCCTTTAATAAAGCTACGGCTTATTCCTCTTTCTAAATTTGATTTATAAATTTGATCTATTGTTCCATTAGCTTCCGTACGATGGGCTTCTAAAATTCGTTTACCGGTAGTTTTTACTCTATTGGTATAAGAAAGTACCGGTTCATTAGCTTTTTGATACATACGCCCTAATTCGGTTTGTAATTGATACGAACTTTTTGAGGATGCAAAATTGCTTTTTAAATATCTAGTTAATTGATTGATTCGCGTAAAATCTTGGCCTTGAATTGATCTTCGTGCTTCTCCGGTTAATTTATTATGTATAACTTTTGTAAAATAATGTTCGGTGTCGACGAGGTATTCCCGTCTGAAGGGCTTGGTAGTGGAGTACTTTCGGTTGGGAATAGAAGTTCAGAAAAGGCCCTTAGTTGTGCTGCTAGCGCGTCGTCGCTAGCCTTGAGCAGGTCTTGATTTGCTAATGCGAGGGGTTCGGCTCTATCCTCTCCATGTAGGGTACTCATTCTGATACGGCGGGGTATTAATAAACGAAGAAACCGAAGCTAATGAGGACGAGAATAAATAATGCTGAGTACTTACTCGTTGATTCGTGATGTGTAAATATTTTTGGATCTCGGGGGCCTGGCTGTCGTCTCTGGTGACTCGGGTCGTCTGAGTGGTGGTTGCACTTGTGACGGTTAACTCAATGTATTGCGCAATTCTGATACTCGGACTGATTAACAAAATATTAAAATGTATATATTTAGAAAAATCCCGAGTTATATTCTGTTATACGTCGCGACTTTTACGAACTGGTGGCACTAGAGAGATCCCGAAAGACAGAAGCCGAAGGCGTGATGTGAAAGCATAACAGAAATCGATAAAAGAGAGAGGAGTAAAAAAGTGAAAGATGCTAATATAGGGAAGATTTTTAGTGGTGACGGATAACGATCACCAATGAGGAGAGTTTTCGTGGAAAGCGGGAAACGGATATGGAAGATTAGAAAACGAATAAGATCACGGATGCGTTGAGAGACCCATGACGCATTTGGGTAGCGTATAATTACATCCTCTTTATGATAGCGCTTATCCAAATCCGCCTATTTCCTGATCATAAAAGGAATTTGTCGCTCCCACGGTACCCAGGATGCAACGAAAGTATGCGCCTTATGTGAAGGCGGATGAGATGACAGATACGTTGGGAAACCCACGGCGCGTCA